TTGCAGGGAATGAAAAATGAACAATATGCTTCACGCTTTCGGTGACGTACGCACGTACAAAGTCACGCATAGAGAAGACTTGCACATGATACGACGACCAATCACAATCGACCCATATAGAAATGATATCATTGAGAGCGAATGGCGAATCATTGGCACTGGACTCGGCCGTAACGCACTTCCGTTGCATTTGTACGGATTTACACCCTAGTCGCGCCTAAAGAAGTTTTACTTCAAAATAAGAAAAAAGGTTTGCATCATTTTTAGGACGGAAATTTTTCAGCTCATCCACGTATATTTTGAGAGAATGTTGGCTAATAGTTTAATGTTTGATGAGTGCACAAATTCATTCATTTTCTAAATTGATTAAATCAAAATAAACCGAATGTATTGAAACAGTTGGGTATTTGCTTTTCATAATAAAGAAGCCATGAAACTATTTTATTGACAGCATCACACAAACTCGAAAATTTATGATATTATAGAATGACATGAAACAACAATCCGGTGCAACATTCGTCGGTTCCGCGCTCTGGACAAATAACGCGACCGTGCGTAAACAGCGCAGCGTAACAAACAACTTCATCGACAAGAACACGTACAAGAGAAGAGTTCACCTAATGTCACATGTTACACATCAGCGTCTCAGAACCATTTTAAACCAGATGTAAGTGGCATTAAGCAAGATGACCATATTTTAAGCCTTGTATAAGATTTTATTCAATCTTCTTTATAAATAACATAACTTTGTTAGTAAAACCTAACTCTTGAACCTGGCAATCGAAAAGTTCGTTTTCATAATTATTTCTAATTTTCGTAAATTTAAAAATGAAAGCTGGAAATTACTAATCTAGAGCCTATTTAACGTAATGTTTCAATGTTGTATACCTACATCAATTTCATATATTTGATGTGTAGTTGTAATTTTTTGTTATAAAGTATACTTTGCTATTTGCTTTGCTATTATAATAGCAAAGATTCAATTTAAACATGTACTTTTTGAGAACAAAAGATCAAATATTGTGTTTAGTAACATCCGGGAAATAAGGTGGACTTCCAGGACTGTCTCTGCCAATGGGACGTATGGTAACCTTATATTAAGGCGAGATACAAAAACTTCCCGATATGCCAAAATAATCGAATTAATAATTAAAATTAGTTTTAGCAACTTCTCAAATTGTGACAGAATTTCGAAATTTTGACATAGCCCATTATGCTATACTTTGATGATTTTTTATAATTAAACCATTATTCGCAAACTTATTTAAGGGACGTTCATTAGATCCATGAACTCTGTCATTAATAGTTTCATCAGAATCGTAAAAATTACAATAACTACAAAACAAAAAAAAAACGGTGAGGCCGATCTTTACCAAAAACTAATTAGCACGATTCTCTACCTGGTTTTAAAAAAGTCAAAATTGCAGGGGTTTTCGCGAAAATATGAACAATTTTTTTGCAGTTTTCTGCAAAACTTTTAAAAACGGCTCGTGTCGCAAAACTAATCACCGTGAGTCCTTATAGGATGGGTGAAATTTTTTCAAATTCTGGAGTCAAACGATTGAGAATGACTTGAAATGCAAAAATAAACAAAATTAGCAAATTAGATTTTCTGACAAAACTCCTTCGGGAATAAATAAATAAAGTAGGAGTCTACCATCGATTAATGATCGTACAACGATCCCACTCCGGTACATTCTTCGCTCGTTAAAGTAATTATAATTCTCATTATCATTATTTTCAATATTTTTCGTAACTTTTTACAAAAAATAAATGTACTCACATTAAATAATACGGTTCTTATCAAAATAGTTTTTCTACACCTGCGCGTCGATGATTCATATGTGTCATTTGTATGAATGAATGACTCGTCAGAGGCGACTCCCTCTCTATTAATTATTGAGCCTAAGTTAGTATACGGCAACCGCTTGAAGTTTACGTGTGTTAAAATTAATAAAAAATACTTAAAGTCAAAAATACTTAATAATTGTGAAAAAATACATGTATTAGTGTAAGACAAAATTCATGGAATTTTAAAATATTAAAAAACGTTTTAAGCTCAATAAATAGTTTAACATCTAAAATAAGTATAGGCATAGAAAATGTAATCTTAAATCACAATACAGGTAATTATAAAAATATTTAACTTATAGGTTCCAATACATTTATTATTGTAGTGTCACATCAAATGTATTTGATATTGCAATTGACGTGAATTTCGAAGCTTGATGTATGATATGACAAGAAAATGTTTTTTATTTAATATATGAGATATGTAAAATTACTTGATGCATTTCACTTGAGATGTGAAAAAGCAACAGGTATAAGTGACAGCGATAAAATTGTAAGATTTTTCACGTTGTTAATTATAATATTTTAAAATTACTAACTGTAATGTATTTTTTCAAGTTACAAAATCTCTAACGTATAAAAGGTATGTAAAAGTATTGTACAAGTATAAAAGTCTCATCGTAGATAAACGACATGTAGCAATCACGATATACAAACAATTTTTTATAATAATATTTTATATTGATTATTTCACATTTATTATTAAAGCATGTACATGAAATGCGTGGTGAGAAAGTGTTTTATTATTTTTTATCGTTTAGAACTTTAGATGAACATAAAAACTCTCAGAAGTATAAACATATATGCATTACACTTAATTTGTTATTGAATTTTAGCACGTTTTCTTGCAAGCTACTTGATTAGAATGATACTTCTTAAACAAATTCTCGAAGTTGTATGAATCATATATGCTAATGAAAAATGTATACTTGTTTCTAAAAACAGATAATGTATTATTTCGGAAGCATTATGTACTATTTGTAGTTCAAACTATTTCCTCAATTGTAAAATAAATCTCTATTGAGCTTTATTTTTTAAAAAAAAAACTTTTTTATCATCATCATAACATTTAACCAACGTTACAGCTGATTTTGACGCTAAGACGGAACAGCTGATTGCTGACGAACTCTACAATTTCTCGCGAAAATAAACACAGGTATCATTTTACACTGCGCACTTTTGTCATGGTGTAATACTTGGAAAACAAATCATTATAATTGAAATTTGATATGCTGTCTTCTGAGAATTCCACGGTTTATTCAAATCATGTTCTATCTGTATTTGAATCCCAAGAATAAAGGTTTATGAATGGAGTGGCCCAATGAGAAAATGTAGGTGAAAATTTAAATGAAAATTAAATGGAATTAATATGATACAAATAATATAAGAAAAACTAGCTGTAAGTGGAATTCTGTCTTAAGGCAATTAAGGCATCGTGCCTTAAGGCAAATTGCTGGAACTTTCCGTACCAAAAATTATTATTTTTTTAAAAACAATTAACATTTTTGAAAAAATTAGATTTTTGAGAAACCATAAATTTGACAAAAAATTACTTTTTTTTAGAAAAAAATTTTTTTTTGAAAACAAATTTTTTTTGAAAAGAAAAATGTTTTCTTAATTTTGACATATTTTGGAAATTCTGAACTTTTTTTCAAAGTAATCGTACTGCTTGAACTGCATAGAGACGAAATGTCAAAGCACGCAAGTGCCGCGCCGCCGTCTAAACGCATAAGCATTGGTACGGAACCCATAGAAATATAAAAAAAGTTATACTTATTGTTAAAATCTCTATAAAATATCTGATAATTTGATGTGCATATGTCTAATGATCATTTTTGACTGCCAAATGTTTTTTTTTTACTTTTTTCATTAGATCTCCGAAACCGCTAGACCTGCCTTTATGAAAATTTGATCAATTCTTCATCTTGTCAATACAAGTAAAATGTTTTTTGAATTATTCAAATCGGACGCTCCGTTCTCTTAAAAACTGAGTTACCGTTTTTGGCACTTTTTGCCCCGTATCTTCGGAACGGCTAGACCTACCTTCGCCAAAAACAAAATCAGCCTCCTTATCAATACGAATCGAATGTTTTTTGAATTATTCAAATCGGTTGATCCGTGTTTCCGAAATCGCCGACGAAAATTTGTATCCGCACATACATACATACACACACGTACATACATACATACACACACACACACATACATCCATTTTTTCTAAGGTATGCCAAAATATTCAGAAACCCTTGAAACGTAAAGATATATAAAAATTTTCATTTTCGATTTTTTTGCGATTACTATAACTTGCCCTACGGGAAGTTAATAATATATAAAAATTATACCGATTATTTCTACAAAACAACTTATAAATTCATAGGCCTAAGAAATATTATAACTCAGTTTATTGATTCATGGTTATTCATAATTGATTTATTGTTTTCGATCAGAAAATTTCGGAAGAGTATTTATATAATTGGGATTTGAACACTTGCCATATGATATGTCCTAATATATATGCATTTGAAATACATTTGGGGTTTATGTATTATATTTATGTAATTTATTAATTATCAAAATAATTCATATGCATAATAAGAAAGAGATGAGGTAAAAATGATAAAAAATGTCTATTTTATATAAACTTTAAATAAACATAATAAAATAAAAAAATATTTCCAGTTTGTTTAACAATATAAGAAATTTAACAAAGGTATATTTTTATTATTTACAGATACAAGATACAAACGTCGAACAATTGAATGGGCAACAAAAGGAATTGCTAGCATTAGGAATTGTACCACATCATCTGCCTTTCTCCCATGCCCTATCTAAAAGAGTTGAGAAACGTCGAGGTGACTTCAGCAATCAGCCGAATGATATTCACGATTGTTTTATCGGTCTGATAAACGTTCCCAAGAGATAAGAGAAATCGACCCAAAGCGTGCGACTAAAACAGTAATAATATTTTTAGTGAGTCAGTCGTCACATTAACACACAGTGGTCAAGTGACATCAGAAGAAAAAGCCAGCAAGAGGCTTGTTTACGTTCGTGTAATATGCATATGTTGTATACGGGAGTGTACGCGGATTGCAGGTAAAGAATTGACCGTGTGAACGATCTACGTCGCGGCCGTCGCTCGCCAAGCGTTCATTCGCTACCTGACAAACCCTGACCAATAGAATATAGCAGAACAACACCTGTAGATTCTCCGCAGTTTTGTAACCTGTCTATTACGTCGGACGCCAGTCGGTGAGCGAATGCAAACCCTCGCGCAGGTTACCGAACAAAGATGGCAGCCGTGGCACGCAAATGTCATGTTGTGATCAGTTTTGTGATTGTGCAGTGTTTAGTGTCAATATCCTGGTGTCAGTTCGATTCTGGAGGACGTTATTATTCCAGGGATGGATTGTACGGCCCTCCGAACCCGGGCGATCGCGATTACAGAACTTACACGTATAACAATAGACGCTATGGGCAAAACCTGCCAGGACAGAATGGCTTGCCTGGTGTGCCAGCGTATCCTGGACAGCCTGGATATTATCCTAATCAGGACGACAGGAATAGATACAGCCCAGTAAGTCGAGAAATCAATAATTTATGTAATAAAAGTCCTAAACAACAAGTTGTCTGCATCGGTAGTATGTTTTAATCGTCTGGAAATTACATTTACTATTATACGTTTATATTTTATTATAATATTTTATGTTTAATAGTTTTAGTACAACGAATAGTTTTGAGATGTGGTTTAATTCATCATTCGAAGTAATTTTCAATATGACAGAATCTAATGAGAAATGGGCGTGGGCCAAATGTTTTGTAGAGTTCACCATGTGCTTGACTCTACGTTGCGCTTTCGACAGGTTTTGTAAACAGAGTTCATCTGTGGAACCTGGCGCGCTTTTTGAGATCAACAAGTTGCTTATATTTGTTATTAACTCAAATTAAGTTGAACTCTTCAAGGAAATCTAGCATATTTCAAATAAAATTTATTTTATAGTCGACCAAGTTTAATTCTGAAACAAATTTGTAGATACGACCATACTTCGAGTTATAAAGATTTTTTAATGAATTGAATAATAAATATGTCTAGGCAAAAATATTTCTTTACTATATAATATTGACAACAACTATATCTTTTTAACTTAATCAATATCAATTATTCAATTATTAATTTTTGAACATAACTACCGATAGTAATATATTTGAATGTCGATTCATTCGATTTTTCACGTGTAAGGAAAGAGAAATATACTCTGTACTTGTTTCAGTTCTGTCCTCACTAACAAAATGGTTTACTATTATATATGCGATATTATGTTTTACTATTTCATAGTATATTTCTCTATGCGAATAAAAAGTAAAGTAGGTCAGGAAAACATAGAATGTGTAATAGTGTATCACACGTCGCCTAATAGTCAGATTGCGAAATGAGCGATATGCTTCGTCAGGTAGCGTGCACAACTCTAATGTTATTCTGATATGAATATGAAATTTACGTCCATAGATTCTAGGGTATAAACATAAACCTGGGTAGAATGTAATCAGAGGCACATATTTACAAGTATATTATAGAAGTATGATCTGTAGTTGGGGAGACAGTTGTGGCACCTTTTTTGATAAGCAATAATTTTGTTAATTTACTAGTTAACTTTTGTCTACATAAAAATAGTGAAATACTATGCTTAAATACGCTATATTAATCACAAAATCAAATCAGACAAAAAAGAGGCGAGCGTTACAACCGTCCACACCCCCAGAACAGTTGTGACAGAAGCATAAATATAGGTTAAAAACTAGTGGGGCGCATGGCATCGTGCCTTAAGGCAAATTGCTGGAACTTCCCGTACCAATTAAAAAGATTAACATTTTTGAAAAAAAAATTTACTCTGAAAAAATTAGATTTTTGAGAAACTATAAATTTTTGACAAAAATTTATTTTTTTTTGAAAAAAAAGACTGAAGAAAAATTTATTTTGAAATACTTTGGAAATTCTGAACTTTTTTTCAAAGCAATAGTACTGCTTTAACTGCATAAAAACGAAATATCGAAGCGCGTAAGCGCCGCGTTGTCGTCTAACGGATGAACATTGGTACGGAACACATAGGAATGTAAAAAAAAATTATACTTATTGTTAAAATCTCTATAAAATATCTAATAATTTGATGTGCATATGTCTAATGATCATTTTTGACCGCCAAATGGCATTTTTTTTACTTTTTTTACTAGATCTCCGAAACCGCAAGACCTGCCTTCATGAAAATTTGATCAGTTCTTTATTTGGCAATACAAATAAAATGTTTTTTGAATTATTCAAATAGGACGCTCCGTTCTCTTAAAAACTGAGTTACCGTTTTTGGCACTTTTTGGTCCATATCTTCGGAACGGCTAGACCTGCCTTTGCCAAAAACTAATCAGTACGTCTCCTTATCAATACGAATCAAATGTTTTTTGAATTATTCAGATTGCTTCATCCGTGTTCCCGAAATCGTCGACGAAAATTTGCATCCGCTCACACATACGCACACGCACACACACACAGACATCCATTTTTTCTAAGATATGCCAAAATATTCAGAAACCTCTGAAACGTGAAGATATATAAAAATTTTTTTTTTCGATTTTTTTGCGATTACTATAACTTACCCTACGGGAAGTTAAAAACAATCGCTATAAACACCAAAATGGCTTATAAAGACTTTTATGGTCAGAAATGTGTAACATAATACAACATAATCCTTTAAACAATCATAAAGCTTATGAATATAATATAACAATATATAACAAAACATAATTAAAGAAAAGTTAACAGGAAGCAAACTGAAATATACGATCATTTTTCTTCTTATAAATAATAAGTCATCATCACTACTCGTGTTATTATAAGTTATATTTGTGCTAAGGATTTAGTGTTGGATTGTTGATATTCTTTATTTTATTCAGAATTGAAATCATTACCATAATTATTTTATATATAAGATTATAACGGCTTCAAATCAGTGTCTTATTAGCTCAATATAAAAACTTTTTTGTGAATGAGTTTTTCATACGCCATTAAGTTTTACTGTGTTTGTTTTCGAACAAAGACGAACAAACATAAACATGTGCAGTACAAGACCAATGAAAGAAAATAACGGTTGCCGTCTTTTAAATCGCTTAATCAAGTAATGTATCATCGTGAAATTCATTAACACAGTTTTTATCCACACAATGATCGCGCTTCAGAAGGCGTTCCATATTCATGCAAAGTCCGCTATGGAACGATTACTTGCTCGCTCAACTTAACTGTAGTATGATTCTTATGAACAAGTGCAGAAAATAGAAAATTCCGGGTGAAAATAGGTTTAGAATATATACAAGCGTATATCTATGAAATATGTTTATCGTACCCTATTACGGTATTGTTTACGGTTTATTTGAAGATTCAAACCATATTTGCAAATATTTCTCGACAATGTTATCAGTCTGCCCGAAGGCAAGTTCATGGTATGAGAGCACCACAAATCAATAATTCTCTTTTCTTCCTTTGTTTATTATTCCCGTTGCCATTTTATTACTATTAATTAATGACCATTATCACTTTTTATTTATTTTTCTTTCCAAACATCTGCTTCCATGCTTTCTCATCTTGTGCTTCGGCTTTCTGTTCCCTGTATTTTCTCTTCTCACTTAAGGGGTTACATGGGTTTCCTCGGGCAAAAAACGGCATTTTTTCAATTCTGTTTTTTACATATAAAAAATAAAATATTTTAATGATTTTTTTTTATTTAAAAGATACATGTTTAATAAACATTTTTTAAAATTTTCAAAAAAAAAAAAATCAAAATCGCGGTCATTACGACGCCATTTCCGGCAATCCCTCGGAAAAAAAGGTGCCTCCGCGTTGTCAGCAGAACTTCTTTCAGGATCATCCGAAATAAAAATAAAAAATACGTGTTTTAGTAAAGACAATAATTTTTTTTAATTTTTTGATACCGTAAAACCCATGTAACCCTTAAGTCATCAACTATCTGCAATTTTAATTTTCTTTCAGTCCTTTCATTTTAGCCACGACGACGTCGTGTAGAAGGCATTCGTTTGGTAGAATGGGTCCGATCCAGTTTATTTTCCTTTTAATGGTCGTGCTCAGTAAAGTCTTTTTTTGCCTGCTCTTCTCAGGACTTCTTCATTTGTTACCTAGTCTGTCCATTTTATCCTCTCCATTCGTCTCCTGCACCACATTTCAAAACTCTCCTGTTCAGCATATAGCTGATTTCTTCGAAGATGTATTTCAATCATTTTCGCAAAACTACTCCCAGGAGGAGCAAATCACTCAAGTTTTCAATGCAGTTTGAAAACTTTTTTCCTTAAGACTGTACTTAAGTCTCATTTCTGGTATCGGAAGTAAAGCAGAAAATTACAGATTCAAAATCAGATAAATCTCTTGGTCATGATCTTATATCAATATCTCCTGATATGCGTAGAGACTATCAGTAACGAATAAAAAAAAACTTATAAGGTATGTTAAAATCAATGTTGGTTGTGCAATAAACATATTGATTCAATGACGCTTGCAAAAATATGTACACTCACTATTATTTAAAAACTAGATTCTGATTGATAAATAAGCTTTGTGGGTTTAGTTTCGATATCTAAAATAACCATATCCACCAATTCTATATGACTGTGCAATGATATATATATACATATGTATATATATATATGAAAAACAAAAATTCTCTTTAAAAAATTTTTGGCATTAATGAATAATGTGACTTTCAAGTTATAGCGGCCTATAATGTTCGCACTTCTGTGTATGAAAACGTTATTGCAAGTTTGAAAAGCCTAACAAAGCTATAAATTTTGATATATGTGGTCTTGAAAACATTGTAGAATTACGATTTGTGCGTCATCTACGAAAAAAATCACTTTATATTTGGTAAAATATCGCAAAAATTTGGAATGCAACCTGGAAGTTATGCGGGCCCATAAATGGTTAAATGATTGACGTAGCTGTTTAATTTACTTTTTATAAATACCGTGTAGCCAAAAATAAATTTTGCAAACACTTGAGGTTAGATTATTTTTCTATAATCGGCGTTAATAAGCGATAATCAACTCTAAGCAGATGGAATGACTAGGACTATAAAAAGCGCAATTACGTTAAGCAACATAATAATTTAGAGAAAATGGATTTTAGATCAATAAACTAAATTCATTCAAGATATAGTAACTGATACGTAAAATGATTAGTTATTAACCTGTAAACAATAAATCGATAATTTAATTTATTATGAAATCTATTTCAAGTTTTATTTTTAACTTCCCGTAGGGTAAGTTATAGTAATCGCAAAAAAATCGAAAATGAAAATTTTTATATATCTTTACGTTTCAGAGGTTTCTGAATATTTTGGCATACCTTAGAAAAATGGATGTATGTGTGTGTGTGTGTGTGTGTATGTATGTATGTATGTATGTATGTATGTATGTACGTGTGTGTATGTAATGTGCGGATACAAATTTCGTCGACGATTTCGGGATCACGGATCAACCGATTTGAATAATTCAAAAAACATTCGATTTGTATTGATAAGGAGACGTGTTGATTAGTTTTTGGCGAAGTCAGGTCTAGCCGTTCCAAAGATACGGGGCAAAAAGTGCCGAAAACGGTAACTCAGTTTTTAAGAGAACGGAGCGTCCGATTTTAATAATTCAAAAAACATTTTACTTGTATTGATAAGGTGAAAAACCGATCAAATTTTCATAAAGGCAGGTCCAGCGGTCTCGGAGATCTAATGAAAAAAGTAAAAAAAAATGCCATTTGGCGGTCAAAAATGATCATTAGACATATGCACATCAAATTATGAGATATTTTATAGAGATTTTAACAATAAGTATAATTTTGGCTTACATTCCTATGAGTTCCGTACCAATGTTTACGCGTTAGACGTCGACGCGGCGCTTACGCGGTTTGATATTTCGTCTTTATGCAGTTAAAGCAGTACGATTGCTTTGAAAAAAAGTTTAGATCTTTCAAAATATGTCAAAATAAAGAAAACATTTTTTTCAAAAAAAAAAAAATTAAAAAAATTTTTTTCTTTTTCAAAAAAAAGTAATTTTTTGTCTAATTGTCAAAAATCTTATTTTTTCGAAGTAAATTTTTTTCAAAAATGTTAATCGTTTTTAAAAAAATAATAATTTTTGGTACGGGAAGTTCCAGCAATTTGCCTTGAGGCACGATGCCTTAATTGCCTTAAGACAGAATTCCACTTACAGCTAGTTATTTACCTATCGAGATTGCGAGATACAGGCTATTCAATGTGAAATAAATGAAACAAGTTTAAGAAAATTATTGTACGCGGATAAATTCACAGATTATCTTATTATATCATGATATGTGGCCGAAACAATATTTTGTTAGTACTATAGAATTTGTAGTTGTGTATATATATATATATATATATATATATATATATATATATGCGAATAAAATAATATATCACAAATGTTTTGTTTGATTTAATATAATTATTGCATATTTATTGATATCTATTTAAAATTTTTAGAATAATCCAGATGGTTCGCCTCGAACACCATTCCCTGGCGTGTTGGGTGGTTGGCGAGACGATTTGCAAGGTAAACAAAGACGAGACTCCATCACTCTTGACCGCGACATATTTGTTACGACAAATTATGGACAAGTTCAAGGTTTTAAGGTACAATCAATATCAATATTTCCTATTTTCATTGAATTCTTAAAAACAAATAACTGATTGTTTTTTTGTGAAGGTGTATTTATATGATAATCCCGATCCATCATATAGACCATGGAACAACGTAGTGGATCGCATATTCGGACATGCAAATGTTTTCTTAGGAATTCCATATGCTATGCCACCAACTTTGGAAGGAAGATTTAAGGTAATTATTCTTAACTTGAAAGCGATCTCAATTATACCATGGCTTTACCATAATATATTGTATACAATCTCATTTTATCCGCACTTTTAATATAAAACTTTATTATTTTTTCAGCCTCCTAGACCTCATCGAGGTTGGCAGCAACTGCAAGCCGTCGATTTTGGACCCGCTTGTCCACAACCGGCCAGATACACAGGCGCCACGAAAGGAATCCGAGATGTTGATGAGGACTGCCTTTACTTAAATGTTTTCTCTCCGAATGTAAGTAGTAAATTTCACTTTCTTTATATTTGGCGTAATATTCGTATGCATAATCATGTGCACTAAATTCATATTGACCGTGAGGGCTTTAATTAACTTTACCAAGTTTTTATTTGAACCTAAATTAAATTAAGCTATTAATTGACCGGTAATTAGCACAACATCGTGTTACGACCTTACGTTAAGTTAGTCAGCTTGACCTCTTGTATTAGTGATATAATTCGTATCATCCAACTGAATGATCCATTTGGAATTACAATCTCTTCCGAAGTATACTTATTTAATTTATTTATAAATTCAATTCAATTTATTTCCTATATTTACTATGTTCAAGATTTAAAATAATATGTTTATATAATGGGAAACAAATATATAACAATAAATTGAATTTTTAAATTATTTTTCTCCAAATGAGTAATAAAAATACCAATATAAATGAATATTGTTTTCTCAGATTGCGGCTGGAGTGGCGGAAAAATACCCTGTAATGGTATACATTCATGGAGGCGAATTTTACAAGGGGGCATCGAACCTATTTCCTGGTCATATGTTAGCTGCTTTTTACGATGTGGTCGTTGTTTCAATTAATTACAGATTGGGTGCTCTTGGTAAGAAAATGTCTAATCGAATAGTTATATAAGCCTAACAAGGGTTTCAAATTGAATTTAGCCAAATTTATTTTTTATTTGTTATTCTAGGTTTCTTGAGCACTGGCGATGAAAATTCGCCTGGGAATTATGGTATTCTAGATCAAGCCATGGCTATACGTTGGGTTTATGACAATATCGAATTTTTCAACGGTAATCGAAAAAGCATTACGCTTTTTGGACCAGGAGCGGGCGCAGCATCTGCTGGTTTATTAATGGTTGCACCTCAGACCAGAGACATTGTCACCAAAGTTATAGCTCAGGTGAATAAAGTCAAAATTTGCTTTATATATATATATATATATATATATATATATATATATATATATATATTTTGTAGAGTTTCGAACAAGAATCCAAAAATAATACAAAATAAAAAACAAGAAAAGTTTTTAAAAAACAATTTCTTTATTTAATTATTTGTTTATTGTCAACGTTTCGGAACTAGGTACGTTCCATATAGTTCCGAAACGTTATATATATATATATATATATATATATATATATATATATATATATTGATATATATATATATATATTGCTGATTTCATATTATAGAGTGGTTCGGCTATGGCAGATTGGGCACTAATTGTAGACAAATATCGAGCACAAAATACAAGTCGCGTCTTTGGACAGTTATTAGGATGTAGCATTGACTCATCTTGGAAACTTGTGACCTGCCTTCGACAAGGTCGGAATTTCTATGAATTAGGAAATGCAGAATTCCAGGTGCTTAGAATATATTTAAAGAGATATATAATGATTCATTAAATATTTGATTTTGTTATTATCAATCCATTGTTTAGCCTCAAGTGGGAACATTTCCTTGGGGTCCAGTTTTGGACGTTAATATGACGATACCTGGTGATGATTGGTATGAAGGCTGGAAAGAACAAGATTGGCACTTTTTAAAAGAAACGCCAGAAGAACTAGTGAAAAGGGGGGCTTTCAATCGTGGATTACAATACATGAGTGGCGTCACTACACAGGAAGCTGCCTTTGTCATATGTAATTACATTTTTACTTATACGAATAAACTTGCATAAACTATAATGGTCTCATATTACATGTTTATTTGAACCAGATGAAAATGAAACGCTTGCACCGTATTTTGAAGTAGACGAATTGTTTTTTGAGCAGAAAGTTAAAGAGCTAGTGTTTCGGTACAATTACACTTTGAATCCAGAAGGTGTTTATGAAGCTATTAAATACATGTACACTTACTGGCCAGCTCCAAAAAATCAAACACTCATTAGAGAACAATATATAAATGTAAGTAATTATCGATTTTCTGAAATATTCCATTTAATACAAAACTGTAACAATTCCAGATGTTGTCAGACTTTTTGTACAGAGCACCTAGTGATAAAATGGCAAAGCTTTTACTTGAAAAAGGAGTACCCGTTTACATGTATGTTCTGAATACTACCATAGAAGCTTTTAATCTGCCAGAATGGAGAAAGGTTGTTTTAAAATGATTTATCATCTAAATGATTGCAATTGTGATTTTATTTTGTTTATAAACTGCATTAGGTTCCTCATGACACTGAATTGTATTTATTAACGGGAGCACCATTTATGGATATCGAATTCTTTCCTTCAAAACTTCGTTGGGATCGAAACATGTGGACACCGAATGATAGAAATATGAGCCACTTTTTTATGAAAGCTTACTCAGATTTTGCTAGATATGGGTAAATAAATTCATAAAATTTATGATCTGCATTATTGAATAATACTTAATATGTTTGCTACGATTTAACAGGAATCCGTCCCATCAACAAATTTTGGGATTGCACTTTGAAAAAGCACGAGCAGGAGAACTAACTTATTTGAACATAAATACTACCTACAATTCTTCCATAATGTTAAACTACAGACAGACTGAGATGGCTTTTTGGAGTCAGTACCTTCCTACAGTTATAGGTCAATTAGTACCCACATACCCACCATCAACAGAGGTATGTGAAATAACCACATTTATCAATAATAATACGTATTACTATGCAAATTAAAATGTATAATGATGATTATTTTAGTATTGGTGGGAGCCAAAAGAACCCTTGCAAATTGCGTTTTGGAGTATGTCTGCGGCCTGTTTATTGCTTTTTGTGATGGTTGTAGTATGTTGCATATTATGGAGAAATGCTAAGAGGTAAGCGAGGTAAACAATGAGATCGTCAACTTTTTAAACTGCACATTTGAGTAGCCACTGATTACAATCACCAATTTCAGAATTAATGAATTGAGTACTTTACCATGAATATAAAAAATGATTAATAACGCAGCAATACCAATACTATTTTTTTTTTAACAGGGAAGGCGATCGTTACTACAGTGATGCTGGCGATCTGTTTATGATGCCTGAAGATGTCCATAGAGATGGGGTAGGCGGAATAGAAAACCATAGCACCAGACAAAAATCTCGCGAAAACATATATGAATACCGTGATACGCCGACCTCGCTTGTGGAGCGTCACATATCAGGAGGAAGGGCGCCATCTTCATCAAGACCACCTTCCAGTGCAGCTACCACTTGCCCAGCGAGATCAGCTTCTCAAGGATCTCTAGGAACTAGCAGCAGTGCTGTAAGTCTCAAAGATTGTGTGACTAGCAGTCCAAATCCTACTGAAACTAATAGAAAGATGGCAGGCACCCCAGTTATGGGAAGCAAAAAAGGCCAAAGCAGAAGTAGGACTCAATTGGTTCAAGGAGTGCCACAAACTGAAGTTTGATTAAAACAATAAAATTTGTGTAGAAGTGTGCATGAAATTCAGTGGTCTGCAGTGAATTTTATATGTAAGTGTGATACTGTTGAAGATTTAACTAGTACTTGAAAATGTGTAAAAGAAACATTTTAAAATAATTTAGCGAGCGAAGAACAATTTGCATGGGTAAAACCATGTATCAAAATGAACGCTGATTGAAAACTAACAAAGAGAATGATGTTGAACATGCAAAAGTTAAAATTAAAGCAAATATAAAAGAAGTATCAACATAATTTAATAACACTATGTTGTTACTAAATTAATTATGTATAAACTATAGAAGATTGATATGATTAACACAAAATTAGGACGAGTAATTAAGGGTAAATGAGTATGAACAAGTGATATTATCTTGTTGATTTAGCGAGATCTCGTAGTAACTTAAGAGTAAAACTTTTAAAACAAAGTGTTCAAAGAAAATAAAATTGTAACATGTGAATCTAATGAATTGTGCATAGATATCACAAGGTTTTTATATTTATAGTTTATAGAATTAGTTAAGGAAATTCAAATACTTATACAAGCTTCAATGTTAAGGTGCAATGTGTATATACATATGTAACATGATATAGAACTCTTGCAAGGGGACCAGCCATGTAGTCATAAGCTAATATAAGTTCTTTAGAATTGTGAATACTGCATAGTATTACTTCATTACCGTACCATACATCAGATTTAATATTTATTATTCATTTAATGAATGCTAAGTATAAAAATAAATTGAAAATTTTATACACTTAAAATGTGTTTTTGAGTAAAAAATGTAAAATTTATTTCAGGCTGTTTAAAAAGAAAAAAAAGAAAAGCATTAGTTGACAAAATTTGAAACTTAATGCACAAGAAACCTAGAGAAACACTCAAAAAATTATTTTAAATTAAAATTCGCATAAATGACCATTGTTCAGTAATGATCGACTTTTGAGTTTTATAATGAAGCATATAGCTTATGGATTTCAAAGTAATCCATTTAAGAAAGAACCACAGAATTTGTTTATATCAATGTATTCGATACATTTACATATTTTTTGTAAGAAAATTAACAGGCAGCGAGGTCTTCTTGAACCTTCTTCCAAGCGCTCAATGGTCCATGTTCTGGCCTGTATTGAACATTGCAACCATCAGGAGCCAATCTTCCCTCATCACGAAGCTTCTCATATACATCACGCTCATATTTAGTGAATCCCCATTTCTTGGAAACATAGATCTGGAACAATAATGTTCATAAAGCTAGTGGCCACTGCTAATTTGAAAATTACACTGATCATTCATGTAACTAGTAGCTGTATCATAGTTCAGCAGCGTAATTGAATTGCTAATCCTCAAATATTTTAGTATACATGTCACTATCACTTGTATTTTTGTATAGATTGCAATAGATTTATTTAAAAACGGAACAGTAATATCACAATATTAAGTATCACAAATATAAATCATGAATTGAATGTCATTAACATTTTATGTTATGACAACATCACTCTAATGTTACTGTTTGCCAGTAAATTATTGCTTCAAATTGTGTCCCAACAGTCACCATAAAGTGCATGCACCATAATCACATAATGAAGGCATGAAAAATGAATAAATCGTTGAAAACCAATAATATTTATAATATTCCAGCGATTTACTAGTGACAATATCATTGGTCAGTACAAATATCAAATGCACAAATTACATTGAAATCACATGAAGTTTACTTGCAAATGTCAGTATGCAAATTTAAGTCACTACCATTTTTTTTTATAATATCAAAAAAAAGACAATTCCGTTTTTTTTTATCAAGTCCAATGATAATTTCTTGATAAATTTGATTATTCACAAAGAGCAAATTTAAATATTTAAATTATTTCGTATCCTACCTTTTGTCTGCCAGGGAACTTGAACTTAGCACGACGCAGAGCCTCTACAACAGCGGCCTTGTATCTGTCACTGGAACGAACAGACATGATTGGTTGACCGATGTGAACTCTGGCAACAGTACCTTGTGGTTTTCCAAAAGCACCACGCATTCCAGTTTGGAGCCTAAATAAAAATGTTTTAATTTTAATACAACAGTCACAAGTTTCCACAAAAAATTAAATATTTTTGAAGAATTTGTCATCGGCATGGTTCTCTAAGTTGTCTCAGCCTCAAGGCTACAAAAAGTCTATGGAATATGCCTTCGGGTCACATTGACACTTGATCTACGACACAGTCATTGAACGCCTTTATTGATTAAAGGTTTCAGAGACTAATGTCGAACTGGTACAGAAATCCAGTAAAAAACCTAAAAACTATCAATGAAAACTAAAACAAATTGCATCTAATCAATTTGTGACAATAAAACACCTAGGCAAAAAAGTGAAATAAGATAAAAATAATGTATCTACCTATCAGCTCCGGCACACGATAACATTTTATTGATGCGGATAACATGGAAAGGATGCAGCCTCATTCTGATGTGGAATTGATCTTTACCACAATTCTTAACGAGGTATTTGTTACAGCAAATACGTCCTGCTTCCAGTGCCTCAGAACTCAATTGTTCATATTCATCAGATACAAGATGCACACATAGTGGAAAATCTTCTACGCCTGCCTTCTTCTTACCCAAATCGAAGATACGAATTTTAGCGTCTGGCACACCACGACAGAACCGAGATTTGGGGTAGGGCTTGTTTTTGCAATAGCGATAACTAAAAAATAAATATTACATTAAAAACTAGTTCTCGCACAATTTCAATTAAACAATAATAAAGTGATCACTAATTATATGGAAGTGGAGAAGCTCGTGAAATGTCGGAGCACTAAAATGTCTAACATAACCTCAAATAATTTAACAAAAACGTGGCACTGCACTTAATTATTTCAATAGCATTATAATAAAAAACAATAATTAACGCATATTTATAATTGAATAAAATAAAATACTCACCATCTGGCCGGTCGACGACCCATTTTTGCCTGAGAAAAAACAAAACCAAAATTAATCTAAATTATTGAATATATTAATCCAAATTATAAACGTACGAGCACAGCACAACGTATATTAAATATAAATCACTATAATTATTATTAGCACGCTTATTCAAGATAATTTAGACAAAATACCTTTGTCAGTGTCTGTCTCCAGCAATAAGAACCACAGAAAGAATTTATTTCGCATGCGGTTCGACTGCCCTAACTTCGTCGTACATCCGCTCAGTTTATAGTGAAGATAGAGCTGAATGTCACGCAGTGCGGCTCGGCGCCAAATTTGAAACTTATGTCAGTTCAACATTATAAAGACTTTGTGATTCCACAATATCAGAATAGAAATAAACTTTTATTAATAATTGCAAATCATATTAATATAAATGCTGTACATCGGTTCGATTTACGTATAAGCTGAACCATATAGACATATGTTTAATTCTAATATTGTCTAAGATCATAATATAAAATATGACAAAATGAAATTATTGATAGGCATATTTTTTAAACAAAGTAGTCGTAATTCCCAGTTAAACAAAATATAAACAAATAAAAAATGCAAAAACCGCTAGTGCATTTAAGCTAAATTCCACAAAACCAAAATAAATCATCACTAATGCAAATATACAGTTTAAACCAAATTTTTTAATGCATGTTTACTTGCCGAATCACATAAGAAAAGGTAATTACAATGAATTATTTAACTAGATTAGACCGTTTTTTGAAGTATGCAAACTGTGCATCTTTGTTATATAAATAACAATATTTGTGTTAATTTTTTAAATGTCGTAATATTATTTATTTAAATATTAAATTTATTTAATATTATTTTTAGAAATAGTACATGAGCTATACAATCAAATTAACTAAAACTACAAGATGATTTACCTAGCTACGATTTGCTTTATGAACTTGGCCGTATATTTTAAAATATTGGGACTTTATATTGCCAGTGATATTATGAATTTACAACGCAATTGGAGGAGAAGATTTAATTCAGAATTACTCTGCAGCAAATTCCATTTGTAATATTTTTTAAAAATGTAAATATTTTGATTAAACACTTTGATTCTGTAACTTTTTAATATACAAAATTAATTATACAATGATTTATTGAGCATTTTTTTCTTTTATTTATTATAAACATGAATTTGAGACAACCTGACTTGTTTAACAGGATCTCGGTGGACATGATTTAAAAATGCAAATAAAGTCACACATAATGTTTTATGCATTTTTTATTGTTTTACAAATTCTGAACAATACTTTTATTTATCTATAAAACAGTCTTTCATTATTAACTACTTGGTGCGTGCTTAAGAATGCACTTTGGTATCGTATTTTGTTTACAATTTGAGACTAGCTAAATATAATCCTTTTTCTTATAAAATATATACATAATTTGCGACTTATTAAATTAAAAATTCGATATTTAAACTAACAATAAGTTAATTAAAATATATAGACATCATCGTAAAGGCAATTTATCCGACTTTCTTTTGCAGTATTTGTAAAGAAGTTCGGGCACCCAGGTGATCACTATGAGAATCAGAAGAATATTTTGAGCATGTATACATAGACTGTAACTGCCCGTGTAATCACGAAGCCAACCTGAAAATATAAATGAGAGTAAATAAATTTCATTCAATAATCGAATGATAATAATTTGAATATTAATTTTAACTATTATTACAAGATTTTATATCAATAAGCTGAAATTTGTGTCTGTAACTGTGATAAAAACAGTTAAGAATCTGAGACAATGCATTATAGAAAATTTCTTTTCAACGTGCGTACAGTTCTGATTTCTGTGCATATATAATTACCAAGAAACTGCCCGATAGTTATGACAAATGCTCCCTTAACGCACATGCCGAGACCCAAGGCGGCAGGCAGCCTGGACGCTTTGCAGTGTTCGCTCAGCACCAGGTTCTGGTTGACAACAGTCGCCGCCCGTACATAACCGCAAAGTGCAGAAATAGCGATAAGACCGGTATAACTTTTTTGCTCAGCTAACACTACAACATATATGTAAATAATAAACTATTCTTATTTATTGAAAATATAATTTCAGCAGAAATATGATTATGCGATAATGATTTTGGTTCATTAACACACTATAATATAGTGTGTGCATATTATGCGGGCAGCGTAAAAATATTTGAAATTTTCTAACAACTCACGGCACAACTATGAGAACTAATTAAAAAAATTGCAAAAGTTTACAAATTCAAAAATTATATTTAATTAAAACAAATTTTATTTTCTTAAGTATCATTTTTTAACTAAAATATCACATATACGGTTGTTTTTATAAAGTGGAATCATTCAATCACAATCAAATAGTACACTAAGAAACTGACTGGTCATACGTTTAATTCAACTTTTAAACTTTCAAGTTGCTTTTCAGTTGTATAGTACTTTCTAAATAACAATAATTCCACTAATAAAATGACTTTGCACAACTGACGTAAAAATTTGAAAGCATACATTATATCAGATAATTATATTAAATTTTGATTTATTCCACGGTGTGAGGTTATCCCACTAAACTTTATAAAAATTCATAATAAAACAATAATGTACAAATTTATTATTAAGTACTCACATGCCCGTGCTAAAATTAGAGCGGCAGCTCCGATGAGGTAAGACAATCTACAAGAAAATCCCAGAATTTGTGTAATTGTTGGAAGAGTTAACCGAGAAACAATGTCCGCCCCAGCCAGAACTGACATGCACATCGCTGTATCAGCTCGGTTTAGTCCAGCTGATTCCTTGAATCAAAATACGACACATTAGTAAGAATATTTTACACAATTTATGAATATTGATGTAGGGCTACTCACTTGCAAAAAAATGGAAATAACATGCTGAAATTGATACTGGCGGTATAGGCTAATGCGACTCCGAACACTATGTTAAGAAAAGTCAAATCCTTGAGAAGATCCAGGTCCATTAGGCTTATAAACTTCTTCCAGCACGTCCTTTGCACTGTGAACGAAAACATTTCGGTATGTTTTCACACGTTCTAGAACTTCTTAATATTTGCATTCTTACCGGAGATAATTACATGCAAGCAAAATAATAATAGAGAGAAAGCGTTGATAAATGTTTTTCATTTTACAAGCAATTTGCGTACAATACCGGTTTTCTTTTTTTTTTCTTTTATTAATATAATTTTATCATAAGACTTTGCTCATATATTATCTTAAGAAATCGACTTTAATTAATAAAGCATTTTTATCTTAAATTTTATTGAAAAATAATAAATAAATCATCGATAAATACCAGATATCAATGGGGCATCGTCCCTTTCATTTTCCTCTTCGATATGCTTCTTCTCACAATTTTTTATATTTAATTTGTCGTTGTTTTTACCAGCTTCAACGCAGTCAACGCAGTTTTTGCAATTTTTATTCTTTAAAAGAACTGAATCATCAGATTCTTCAGCGTCTGAAGCGTCAGGGGTTAAAATCGGGTCAAGTAAAGATTTTTTCTCGGTCGGTACGTCATTGACGGGTTTCATGTGATTCTTTACGGGTTGAAATAAAGAAGCGCCTACCACCTGGAAAACAAATTAAAGTCGAATTGTATTAAATAACTGATAATAGAAATGACGCGTAAACTATGTGCATACCAAATTCTGATGCCACTTTGTCTTATCACTTCACTCAATAAGTCTGAACTTAAACTAACAATACTAACTAAAACAATACATTTTTTTGTCAAAATACTTTTTTTATTTAATATAGTTTTCTTCAAACACAATATACTAGTTATAGCAAACTTCAAAGTTTTCGAAACCATTTTTGTAGTACGATTTGTACTTAGCCACAAAATTCGTGCAAATCATCTGGCAAAAATTCCTTCACAGCAAGCATATTTTTAAGATCTGAGAACAGAAGAACAGGGGAACTGGGAACGTTTTATCCAATTTTGATCTTCAAATGTTCCAATAACGTTATGCAATAATGCAATAGTCACTGTTGATGGTCTGGTCTTTTTCATGTTAGTGTATGAAGATCATTTCTTGAGAATCC